TCTCTCTCTCTCTCTCTCTCTCTCTCTCTCTCTCTCCCTGATGCGGACAGTCCGTCGTCACGCACCAACCCACGAAGTTGTCACCCCGCTTAGTCCTCCCGCACCCGTCAGGTTCGCTCGCGCCCACAGTCCGTCGTGGCCCGCGTCAACCCCGCGCGTTCGGCACCAGCTCGTCGGGTCGCCCGACTCCCGCTTCAACTCACCTCTTACTTCGCTCGTGAGCCGACCGTCACTGATCGCGCTACCCTGAGCTTCCAACAACTGGTTAAAAGAGTTATCTAATTGCGCAACCGGAATTTATAGCATGCATGCATGCGCGAAGAACACGGAATTGCAAGGACTTAGAGAGGAGATTAGGAGAGGTATCGCCTACGTTCTGCATGGCCGGACCGCAGCGTGGGGGACTTTGCCTCTCTCCACGCATCGATCCGAGTCATGCAGCCCGCGGGCTTGGCTAGACACAGCAAGAGAAAGCGAGAGCGGGAAAGACGAAGTTCAAGAAAGAAGATACAGTTACAATGGCGCCCGCCCAAAATTACAGTTACACACACGATTAAAAGCGCCGACTAATCAGAGTTTCGTTGCAGCCGCATGAAGGAGCGCGTAAACAAAAAGCGCTGCGCGGCAAAAGAAAATCCTAATTGCAAAATTCCTAAATACCTATTTAATGCCGAGAAGCGAAAAGCACAAGTTCTGAAAGTCCGAAATTCTGAGAGTCATCGGGGCTCGACAAGATTCGAAAAAGAATTCAAAAAGAAAATTCAAAAGGAACGAAGCAAAATTCCTGCGCAATAATCGCGCCCAAAAGTCACAAACCGAATCAAAAGAAGCGACATCAACATTTATTAATCGCGCGCACGGTGGCGCACCACAGACACAGCCAACCAACCAATCGATCGTCCCGGGACTCACTCGACCCTGAACCCAACCATCCGAAAGGAGACGACGAAAAAGACGAAGAAGCGAGGGCACTGATGCAATTTCCTTCCAATCCCGATCTCCCGTAATTGGCCCATCCTTCCCAGCTTAGGACCCCTCGTTGCTACCACTTAGGAAGTCGCGCGGCGCAGAAATCGGTTCGTCACAGTATCTCCTGACAACCCCGACATCCGTACGAAGGACTGCTATGCCAGCCTCAACTCCAAG